GAAAATAAATATAACTATGATAATAAATATAATAAATAAAATAATGATAAATGTTAAAATAATGAAAATGAATATCATAATGATAGCTGTGATAGCAGTGAAATCGGTGAAAATAGTGATCATGATTTTCCTAGTGATCATTGGTGATATGAGTTGGCGCAGTCATTTAGTTGCGCAAACGGATTATCACTAATAATGTGGATTAGACAACTGAATTTAGCAGATTCTGAACTTATATCAAGCCAAAATTCGTGAATATTCAATCACTTGATGTGTAGTTATTCAGAAAATTGTAAAGCTAATTATTTGGTTATAGTTTACAAAAGAATCTTGTAGAGGTAACATTGTCAAAGTGACGTGAGAAATGATGATGATCTGAGAATTTACAAAATATTAGTTTTTGGTTCTGGGAATCTAAAGGAGGTGAGAAATTGATAGGTTGTTATATAAGAATTCATAGCTACCTAGTGAGTCTCAAAATGTATTATTAGCACTATATGAGAATTGAAATTTCAATCATCTACGTGACATAATCCAGATGTTATAAAAACCCCAAACCAATTCAACCAGATGCAGGATATCGAGAGCTTCAAAACAAGCTAAGGTATGAAGAATTTGGATCACAGGAACCCAAAATAGCCTTGATAGTTGGGAAATTTTACTATGCCACATCATGGGTTAGAAGTTAGATCGATTTTGCAAAATGTAATACTGCGAAACCATCACTCCCAGATACTACGATCGTCACAAAACATGGAACAATTATGGAAACCCTAATATCTATTAATTTGCTGATCTCAATTCGGCTGAAAAAATAAACAAATATAAACCCAGTCAGCTCTAGCCACGATTTTCTCAATACTTTTATCAAATGCTATAATAAAATTACTCTAGCATAAAATTTCTGCCTGATTAGCTTTTATCGATACATCTTTTGCATCACAAGCTTTTTCATATAAGTTAGCTATATTTTGTAAGATATCCGATTTTCCTGACCCAAGATCAGCGAAATTAAATTTTTTATTAATACATGCAAAAATAAATATAAAGGTTCGGGACTATGCCTGTGATACATAAAGTTTCTATATTTATCTGATTACTGCCTGAAACCGTTGTAGTTTTGGACGTCCCAATTTTAATAACGATTTATATAGTCGAGACTTGATATAATGATTCATACATATCGACTGATAGGAAACTGTTACACACAACTAAAAACTGATGAGACTGTTATGTTTCAATTGGCGGATATGAAATGTATACTATCGCACATAGTGTTACGACTATCACGTAGGCCAAAAATTATATATATACGACTGATATGATAACTATGATGACACTGATTAATTAATATTTGATAAAGTAGTATTCGAGTTGGAGCAGGAGAACAAAAAACTCATCAATAGAACTGTGTTAGAAAAGTGGATTTCTGACAGGTGTCCCTTCGAATAAGATGAAAACATTTTAGGTAATCATAATTATTTCAGTTTAGTTAGAAGCTTTACACTGCCTCAATAAATGAGAAGTATTATTAATTATTTAGTACTGTAATTTTTATCTACACTTAGACTTTATTAAATCCAAGACTCATGAATGTGAAGCTTATGAAAATGGCGCTGGTGTTACTCACTCAGGATCAACAGGTATTTTTAGTAATGTTTTATTTGATCAATAAAATCAAACTTTCACAGTTTTTGTTAAGGAACTGGCAGAAATAACTCTGTCACTTGTAAAGGGCATGATGATGGAAGCAAAGTTTACACGTCAGATAGGACCACTCTTATGTCCAGGTAGACGAGCTCACTTGTTACTTCCACAAACAGAACCCAGACCACTGAATTTCGTAAATACAATAAATATCGTCGTAAAGGTTTTAGATTAGACAATGTTTTCAGTTCAGGCAAGGTATCTAAATGAAATGATAAGAGATTTGGGACAACTAAATCTGTTGAATCAAATTATTAGACGAAACAGGAATATCATCATTAGAGAATTTAATGGTTAGGAGTTGCGTTTGGATCCTTCACCTAATGTTGGAGATTTAGTTCATAAAGAGGGATATTTGTATTCTATAAAATTATCAAATTCTAATTGTCTGATTTAAGAAATCTTCAAGAAAGATGGTTTAGGGCATTGGCTTATTTTAGCGATCATTCATTATATTCTCATTTTTTAGATGTTTATTTTAATAACTCCTGTACATTTTAAAATCTTTTGTTTGTGTATCTTCTTTATTATATTCTGTAATTAACAAATGGAGATATGTAAAATTTGTTGAAATAATAATAAAAAAATTTACAATTAATGGTGACTTTACTATTATCTCAATTTCACACGCACAATAGCTCAATATAGGTGAAGAATAGATACTTTATTGGTAATTTGCAATGCTTAAAGTGAAAAAGTTCTTACTCTTAAGAAATATTATGACAATCTTACATTGCATGACCCTATTGTTACTCTTTCCATACAATTTTAGTGATCACATTCCATGTTAGTTGTTTAGCATATAGAATATGTGGAAAAAATCAAAAATCTATTTAAGAAGGATGAATTGTGTATAATATAAGGTTATTGATTACAGGAGGTCAAACTTTTTAGATACCTGATTAACGAATTCCTTAATTTTTCGTATCCTTTCTAGAATAACAATTTCTGGGTTTTGATCATACCATACTTCCAGAAGGAAGATTCCATTATCCAGGCAAATACATCTTTTTTGCCAATCACGATTAATGATGTCCTCAAATTTTTGACATTTTTATACCAGTTGATACTATGAAACTGATGCTGAGCCTCTTGCATCTCCAATGCAATTCAATATTTTGGAAGAAGGCATCAAGCTCTAATCTGTTTAAGAAAGAAGGAAGATATTTGATCATAGGTTCTTCATTAAGAATTTCTTTAGTTATCTGAATGCATTTAATATGAAATTTGTGATTTTTCTTAGATTCTGATTCTTTTTCAAGCTTATCGAGTTGCCATTCTAACTTCTCAATTTTGGCATCATATTGGTTATTCTCTTCCATTATTTGTTCTATAAGCTCCACATTTCTGACCTCAATCTTGACATTCCTGGCTTTAACTTCAGCAAGCTTCTTTCTAAGTTCAAAAATTTCAGCAAGTTTCTTTCTAAGTTCAGGAATCTCAGCATTTTTAGTCTCAAGTTCAACATTCCTAGCCTCAAGCTTGACAATACGTTTCCTCAATAAATCTATTTCAGATTACATATCGACTTACTATAATATTTTTATATTCGATATATTAGTATTCAATCAGTAAAAAATGTAAATTATACTGAAATCTGTTAACCACGGTAACGGGTTTTACCAAGAAAATTTTACATAATTTACTTATAATGCAAAAAAAAATTTAATTAATAATCATGCAAAATATCTTTTGACCGCTCTGAACTAGCTAGATTATTCAGACTCTAATTTAGTTTTAGAGCTAGAAGATTCTGAATCAGAATAGCAGTAATCTTTATCAAAATTTTCGATATGAATATTTGGATTTAGCTGATCTATAACTTTTTTGCTAATATTTTCACATCCTTCCAAATTTAGAGATTTTAAATTAAGACATAAGCAAGCAATTTTTTCAATAGTCTTACTAGTAATATTGCAGTAAATAAGATTGAGATGTTAGAACTTTAAGCGGGAATGTATAATATTATAAATTGATGGCTCACTAATAAAATCACAGTAATACAGACCAAGGTATTCTAATTTATAACAAGTATAAGCTAGCGCTTTAATAACTTTATTAGTGATATCATTACAGCCAATCTCTATATGGGTCTTTGCAATAGAAAGGGAGGAAACTCCAAAAAATTAAAATTTTAATTTATAAACCAAAAATGTTCTAAATACTATAATTTGTTTAGATTTATTATTAACTTATTTTTTATTTTTTTTTGAGTTTCCTTCCTTTCTATTGCAAAGGCCTCATATGTCTTAAATTCAGAGATCTTTTAAAGATAGCTATAATTAATCTATTATCTCATAAAGCCATAGCATCACAAAAGTCAAGATACTCTATACTGAAACATTTCTGCATTAAAGTATTAGCATCTTTAATATCCTTCTTACTATATGTAATATCAAATTTTTGTAAATTTGAGCATGAGTTTAAAATGCAACTTATAGATTTATCTATGATCCAACATGCTTTAGCAAAATGAAACTCTTGTAAATTATAGCAATTTTCTGCGATTTCAAACAAAGATTTATTGGTAATATTTCTGTAGTAAGAAATATTTAGATGTTCTAATTTACAGCATAATCATCTGATCGCATATAAACCTTTATCAGTTATTACTTGAACATCTCACAAATTGAGATATCTTAAATTAGGATATAATTCCACTATTATAAATAGTACTCTATCACCAAAACCTATACTATTTTTGAAATCTAAAATTATATTCAGAAATATATTCACAATACTTTTTATTTTTTTATTCGAAAGTGAATAGTAATAAGTAATTTCTAGATAGATTATATTTGAAATATGGGCTGGCTTATTCTTTTCACATATTATTTTTACAAATATTTCCTATTGAATACGATTTCTCTCACTATAAGTATATCTATCTAGGAAATATTGCCTATATATCAGATCATTCTCCTTTAGTTTGATATATTTTTATAAGCTAGAAATAGCATATTTATACCAAAATTGGTTAACAAATAGAGTGGGGTAGAGAGATTTATCTATCGCTAAAAAATGTAAAATCTGTTCTAATAGTTCTGGTAAATAAAAGATGTTTGATTGCAGTATATAAAATTTAGACCAAAAGTCATGTACACAAGTTGTATTAAAATAGAAAATTAATGCATGTATTACATAGTATTTCCATTTTTATAAATAATTTATCCATTTTTATATATAATTTATCTATTTTTAGTAATTATTTATGCACATTTTATGCTATATAATATATGCATACAAAAATTTAATGTGCACATAAATTTTACACACTGCTTGATTGCATTATAAATAATATATGCTGTATTTTTAACAAAAAATAAAATTGCGCGATCACTGCTTTAGGCTAAGTCTTTCTAGTATCTCATCTAACATAAGTACTTATAAACAATCCATAAGAACTTTTATCCTATTCTTATTTGATATTCCTTTTAATAATGCACATTTAAAAAATTCTTCACTGTGGCTGAAACTCTTATTATACTCTTTCAGCTTCAACGCATTTTCATAGAATAGAAGCACTGCATCTGTATTACAATCGGCAAATAAATAGAGTGGAGTAGAAAGATTTATCTATCAATAAGAAATGTAAAATATGTTCTAGTAATTCTTGTATATTAAAAACACTTGTATGCGCTATAAATAATGTGTATTATATGCTGTATCTTTAATCAAAAAAATAAATTAGCCATAATGTCTCTTTAGCGGTTTAAGCTTAACCCTACTAGTTCATCTAAAGGAAGATCTATTAAACTTAATAATTTTGACTGAAAAATATGCAAAGTATCTGACTCGATCCACTTTAAATTACTATCCGCTTAATCTTTCTTGGTTATACCTCCTTTTATTGCTTATGAGAGACAGCCCTTCTTACCTTAATTATCTCAACTAAATCAGATTCTTCAGAAGAGTCAGTCTCTAAGGACTTTACATTTCTCTCTAATCTTTTTACTTTCTTTTCTAAAGCGTTATATTAGGAATGATAATCTTTCAATTGTTTCTTTAGTGCCCTATTTTCTCTGAAAAGTGCATTATATACTTCTGCATTTTGCTCGTTTAGTCTAAATACCTAGGCTAATATCTTTGTATATTTGATAACTTCTTGCTCGTTAGCTATATTATCAGATGAATGCTTTTGATCAGTTACCATATTTGCGATATTTTATATATAATATATCTATTTTTTTCTCATATTTATTTGAAAAAAAGAAAACCTATCAGATAAAATATTAGGGTAAGTTGCTCTGATTAAAAGAATAGACTATATTTCACAGATCGACAGATTAAAGAAGGTAAAAAAATAAAATTAATAAATGATATCAGATTAACAAAGCTAATCCTCCTAACTTAATCTCTTTAAGATCCCTCTAACCCATATATGTGATTAGTTTGATTCCTTAGAAACCGTTTTCATCAAAGATATTGAATGGACTTGCTTGATCATAAGGTTGACCCTGCTTACTGTAATTGACTATAATATATCTATCAGATAGAGAAACATAAGTGTCAAGTGAATATCGAAGGACTTCCCTAGCATAAGTATTAAATTTTGACGAGTTCTTAGGCATATGCATTATGCCAACAAATACTGATTCCAATTTACGTAAAAATCTAGGAAGTAGCGAATCATAAAGCTTAGGAATAAATTTATCTTTATTCAGAAATACACTTAAGTATGTAGATTCAGGCTTTCCAGGGTCTCTTAACTCTCCAGAAGAAATCGTATTTTGAATTTATATAAATAATTGCTTAGCCTGCTTTTCATTCTTTTTCAGTGATCTAAATACTCGAAAAATATCCTGATTAACTCAGTTTTTTGCGTATCCAGTTATATCACCATTAGATATACGCAGATTTTAATTTTAGCAAGACAGATACAAAGCATGATCATTACATTAACTAGGATCTGTTTATCAGGTATATTAGATACATTATACTTATTTAATCTTTTCTTAACTGATTCTAATGAGAAGTAATCCAGATAATGAAGCCTTTCATTTTTACATTACTCATTATATTCCTTTTAAATTTTATTAGATAATTTAATTGTCTTTAGATTCTTCATAGCAGAGATTATTTTTTCTAAAGTATTGAGAGTTCACAGTTCTCTTTGAAGTCTAAAAAGACGTGATAGGGTAACAAAAGTATTAGAAAATATTTTCTCTAAGGTTTTAGATATCGCTTTTGCATCTCTTTTACTAAGATTATCCTGAATAATATGGTGAGCTGTTTCTTTAATAGTCTCTCCTTCTGAGGCATTATCAGAAACTAGACTAATATTCACTTCAGCTTCTGGGATTACCACCGGTACTTGACTTCTGTACTACCCAATTCTCTGATCAGGAATTAATATAAGTGCCTATTTTTTGCTAAATTTATATCCCTTTTGGAGAT